CCGCCATCTTGTAAATTAATTAATGCGTTCCTAACGAGATCAGAGGCGTCGGTAAAGCAGGAGGGTTGGCTAGTTCTCTACTTTGCCCGCTAAAGAACGGGGGTGAGAAATCCAAGGGTGTAATTCGCGTCTCGCGCACCCTGTGTCGGGTGCACTTTAAAATTCTCCACAGCAGTGTTGGTCGAATCATTTTTATGAACTAGATAGTTTGATAATTAAATACTGAATCAGATATTTGACAAAAAAAAGACATGGAATAAAACTTTGAATGGATAACTGATGCAAGGTTTTGATCTCTTGCAGTTCTCTCTATGTTTAATGCGTTTGAAAATTTCTTTGAATTTTATAGTTATATTGTAAACTCGAAAACATATCATTTTTAGCGTGCATCGAGAAATATTTCTAATTTGAACTTGCCATTCCGTAAGATTAACCGCAAATCTTCACGTCAATTTTTCGAAACACCCCCATATCATCGTCACAGCCCTGGGCAAGAACGAATTAGTCTGTTCCCGGGGGTAGACAGGAGAGACAGGGTGTTAGTGGAAGGGGGGGATGTTGGTCGGGAGCTCGGTGTCAGGATCTCTCGACCCTTTCATCGGCGCTTCACCCGCTTACATAATGCAGCCACTCTAATTAAAATAAATTACACTCTCACGCGTCAGTTCGCTCTTTTATCTCTCTCTTTCTCTCTTCTTCTCTCTCGATCTCGCACCCGTGCTCGTTCTTTCTCTGTGTTCCCCTCCCCCCCCCACCCTTTCTCACTTCCCTTCCTCTTTTCTCCACGCCAGCTTTTTTTTTTCGCTCTCACCCTGTCGCTTTTTTGTACCACACTTTCGACCACCACCCGGGTAACGCCTCTTCCACCCTCTCTCACCCCTTGCTCGTTTATTTGCACTTTATTCGAGATTTAATTTACCGACCTCCGGCGACAGCCTCGTTGGTGCGCGCTCGACTCTGTGATGGGATTAAAAAGGCGGGTAGGGGATGATAGGATGGAAGAGACGAAGGGAGAGAGGCGAGAGGGTCGCGTAAAAGTTGAAAAAAGAGTAACGCGACCGCGAGCTTCGCGACCAATGGAGAACGAACTGCCGGAAAATGGCTGAACCAAGGAAAAAGCGAGGAGGCGTACGAGGGGTAGGGGTACGAACAATCGATATCGCGGCGTCTCGATTCGTAGCCGATTTTCAATTCCCAGAACAGCGACCGTGTATGTACCTATCACCACGACATCGCGACAGCGCGAGAGCTTATACACGGTAAATAATGAAATCGATTTCGATTAAACGTTTAAAATCGTTCCTGTTTTCGAGATATCAGGGTCGTTGGCGCGGTTGCGTGGCCTCCGGGCTACGAAATACAAGGGGTGAACGGGAGGCAATTTTTTTCCCAGTTGATATTTGATCGCAATTAACGCTCAGCAAATCGTAGCGGCGTTATAAGCCCCGAAATAAGCGATAAGCGCGTATATATTGTTGCATCTGTATCAATGTTTAAACAGTTCATTGTATAAGATCAATATTTTCGCCAAGATATGCAATAAAAAATGAGATAATGAATCAAAAAGAAAAAGAAGAGCTCGATCTTTTCGGCAAACTATACAAATGTATTCGCGAAAGATGTCGATAAATTATCGCGAGAGATTTTCATTGCTATATATCTTGTAATTGTTTATTAAACGTATTTCGCGTTAGAAATAGCATTTATTCATTAATATGCGGATAAGAAACAATAAAAAATAAATAAATAAATAAAAATACAAGCGTAAAAATATAGTATAATTGGCTTTACAATCACGATCGATTTTGGCGAAAATTATATTGACATTACAACGAAATAAATCATTACCATCTCTCCACGGATATCTTCCTCGTTGCTATCGAGATTACCACCAGCTTTCGCGACAATTTACCGTGACCTGATAGCGAAACGTCGCGTAAGTACCGTGCAATTCAATTAAGCTCGCGCTTGCGTGTTGGTTGGAGTAAATTAAGAAAGCTCCACACTTTTTCATCTGTATCGGTGCGATAATAAAATATACCGCGGTTGCCTCCTTTTTCCACCGCTGTCTCCCTTTTTTTTATACAAGGAGCAGTCGCTTTACGGTATTCTATGAACTCGTTATGAGTTGACACTTCAATGAGAAGGATGGTGAAAGAAGATTGTCGAGTAACTCGTACAAACTCTGTCCTCTTTTTTTTTTCCTCTTATCGCACGACGGCAATGACGATGACGATGTTAACGTCAATGTCGACCTATAAGCATCGTAGCTTCTTTTTCGCATCCTCGAAAAGCTCCGAGGTATTCCGCAACGCACAGAGTAAATATCTCTCGGGTCGTGAAAAATCCTGAAAACGGAGAAGCAAAGCGCATCTCGCGCGCGCGAGAAAAAAAGAGACATCGAACAAATTGACGCCGTACTTACCAAGTTCCGAGGAGCGAAGAATTACGTTTCCATCGATCCGCTTTTTCGCGTCACTTTGAATTTATATCTTCTCTCCACAGCAACGTGGAGCAGGCTGCACGATAAAACTTCTATTCCGCTCGGCGGCTCGTTACCCAACTGCATTTTCATGTCCTTCCGTGCTCCTCCTGCCTCCATCCTCTACCGTGCAATCCGATCTCGTGATTGGATCGACGAGGAAGAACGGTGCTTGCGGAAAAGAGGCAAGCCATCGTCAGGGAGACTAGAAAAAGAGGGAAAAAAAGAAGATTGAGAAAAAGAGAAAAGGAGAGAGAGAGAGAGAGAGAGAGAGAGAGAGAGAGAAAGATGAGGCAGGAAGCGAAAGGTAAAGCTCCCAAGAATGAAAGGAGAGGAGACTTTACTGGTACGCGAATAATAACGACTCGCATTCTCTCCGGCTGTCGCCGGTTTTCGAATTGAGATGCCAACTCTCTCTCTCTCTCTCTCTCTCTCTCCTTTTCTCTTTTTCTCAATCTTCTTTTTTTCCCTCTTTTTCTAGTCTCCCTGACGATGGCTTGCCTCTTTTCCGCAAGCACCGTTCTTCCTCGTCGATCCAATCACGAGATCGGATTGCACGGTAGAGGATGGAGGCAGGAGGAGCACGGAAGGACATGAAAATGCAGTTGGGTAACGAGCCGCCGAGCGGAATAGAAGTTTTATCGTGCAGCCTGCTCCACGTTGCTGTGGAGAGAAGATATAAATTCAAAGTGACGCGAAAAAGCGGATCGATGGAAACGTAATTCTTCGCTCCTCGGAACTTGGTAAGTACGGCGTCAATTTGTTCGATGGCTCGGAACTCCCTTCCCGTTAAAAAGAAGGCGATAGACGTCTTCACGCCGAGATCAGACTGCCGATCAATACGGTATACATACGATGAAACATCTTGACAGAACAAAGGAGGTAGCGAACTTTAAAATGGGAATGTAAACGCGTAATCATAGCTCTTTAGAATTATCACTTAAATTATTAACGCGTTAAGAGAAAAAAAAAGAAAGAGAAGATTAATGAAGTTTAGTAGGAATCGCGATCGTTTAAGGTGTTTCTGGAATGAATGAATGAAGATATAAGGGGCGAACGAAAAATATAGCGAGGAGAATATAAAAGGACTTATATCTGCCCGACAATCAGTAATATTATATGACGCTGAGGCGAGTAACCCCATTAGCATTCATATTTCAATTTCACAGCCCTCAGGGTCGCAGTTTGAAACTGTGAAAGAGGTACTCGGTCAGAGCGACGAATGGGGGAGATAAACGGAAGAGAATTCACACAGGGAAGAGCCAGAGGGGAGAGAGAGAGTAGGCACCGACACAGGGGTGAGGGGGAACGTACGGGCGAAAGAGGAGAGCTAATATCGATAGCAACCTATTACCATCTATCTCCATACCAATGTAATGGACGCGCAGCCCCGATTATCAATCCGTAATAATTGTGCATATTAAACGGGCGCTAATTATCGGGCTGGCAGCGTGCCGCGGGCGCCATTGCCATCGAATCCAACGAGTTACAACTCGACGGCCCGCTCGCTCTCGTAGTAAATTTCACCACGGCCGAAAGAGGATCAATAAACTCCCCCCAAAAGAGGGAAAAAAAAAAAATCGTCGCCCGCTCGGGTGCGAAAATATTCGCGAAATCAAATATCAAACTGTGTTTTTCGCGATTCGCCAAGTGGTACGCGAATTTTTCAACGAGCGTGAAACCTTAATCGCCCATTCGTTTCGCCGCATCGCATCGGTTAATGCGGGAACGCTGTTACGACGCACGGGACCGTTTAATCGACGCCCGAGCTAACTACGCTCATCGATATTCATCGATCCCGGAACAAAAAAAAAAAAAAAAAAAAAAAAAAAAAAAGAAAGGAGGATGGGGGAGTTCCGACCGCGGCGGCATCAATTCGCCTTTTTCGCGCGAGCCTTTTGCCGAGCGATCGATCGATCGGTAGGACGATCTCGCAGGACACTCGAGAGACCTGGGAGGCGGAGAGCGCAAACGGCGGTACCCTCGAGCGCTCTCGAAAGCTTTTTTCCTCTCCGGAACGCTTTTAATAAACGCGCGCGCCGCAACTAGCGGACGCTTTATGTTATCGAAGAAGGAGAGAAACGCGTGGAGAAATAGAGAGGTTGAGAAAGTGAGGGAAAGAAAGAGAGAGGAAGAGAGAGAGAGAGAGAGAGAGAGAGGGCGTCGGATGGTCGATGAAAGCGGAAGGGAGTGCTTTTGACGACGAGCTTTTTATGGCCCTGTGTTCCGGTGTTCAGGCTTTTATGTCCATTCCGTGTTTCCTCCTTCGTCGCCATCTCCGCTTTCCATCCGCTCTCTTTCCTTTTCTCCACGCTATAGTGTATCGCGCTAATTCCCTCTTTCGCTCTCTCGTTCGTCCATCTCCGCTATCATCCAATAATATATCGCGCTTAAGCGGCAGCGTAATTTCGCTTTATGGGGTGAAATTTTACGTACTTGGCAGTACCAGAGACACGCCAGTCTCTCTCGTCCGCGATAAATAATGAGAAATTACTTAATATTTAAATGTGATACTCACATGTCTCTCCTCGGCTGGATTGAGACCTGCAACGTAAAAATTTCGCGTGAGTTACACGTAAAAATCGTACTATCGTTAAAACTAGAGATACACCTAACTACGGCTTTATTCGCGAAATCTCCCGTTTTTCAGATATCATTCGCTCAAAGTCGACAGATCTATCCCTGACAGAATGGACGCGCCATGAATGTTTTTTATTATTATTACAACGTTGAAGCGAATAGAGTCGGCGATATGTCGGCGAAATCTTTTCCGCGAAAAGAAGGAGATAAAAGAAGCGGGAGATGGAGTACGCGAGACTAGCTAGAGTTCTCAAGGATTTCCGAGACAGCGGTAGAGAGGGAGAGGGAGAGGGAGAGGGAGAGAGAACAGAGAAAAAGAAAGATCGGCTGGAATAGGGAGCGAAGAAAATCCAGACGGAAAAGCTTTGTCCTCGAGAAGCTGAGTTCATAGTTTGCCCTCGCTCGATTTCCCCAGCCTCTCCTTCTCCTCCTCCTTATCCTCCTCCTCGGTTAGTACACTTCGGTCTCGTAGGAAATATCTTAACGATATCTTTTTCCTCCCGTTACCTCATCCCACCGCGAAGTAAGAATTACACGAGCCGTTTATGTTCCTGGTGCACCGGGACCACCATAAATTGCCTCTCTTTTCTCCCGCGACATTAACCACCGCGGAAATAAAATATTTTTATCGACGCGCAAGAGACAGAGTTTCGATATCCACGTTATTGAGGCGCGGCGTCTCCTTAAAAATAAGTTGCACAATAAAACGCGCATTTTCGTCGCTCGATGAAACCTTAATTCCTAAGCTCCCATTTGAACGACATTATCGAGTATCTACATCGACCACCTACATCGCGACGAACGAGTGGTTTTATTATTATAGTCTTTTTAGTCCGCCAAATAACGGGAACGATAGTCTCGGGGAAGATCTTATTGGGCCGGAGAATTTCCTGATATTTTTCCGGGTACGGTCGCGAGTAGTAGACGTAAATATCATGCGGAAGAGGCCAAGGATCGTCGTTTCGGGGGTTAAAATCCGGGAATCCACGAGCAGACGCGTGCAAAACGGAGCACTTTCGAAAGAGAGAGAAAGAGAGCGAGCGAGAAGTATCCTTGTTCTCTTCGCGTTAGTATAGACCTCGCTAATGCCCGTCATCCCCCTTTTATCCTTCCTGCTATCCGACCAGGAAACTCTTTTTCTCCTCCCTCTTTCGACGCTGAAGAGCGCGCATAATTTTCTACTAAAGCGCGAAGAGGTCGTCGAGTGTTTCCGAGAAGCGTTTTAAGGACCCACGTACTCGCCTCTCGTCTCCCATCTTGGGGCGAGCTCGCTAAAAGTACCGAAGGCATATATACACAGCTCGCCCATTAATCAAAAAATTATCACGTAAAGAGTAGTATATTATCAAATATTCGAATCATCCAATAAAAAACCGCTTTGTATTAAAATCGTATTATGTTTAATTAACGAACTTACGTCTTTCGCCGGTTAATTCACTTAGAGATGCCGGTTCTCGTCGGGCATCAAATTGCGCCGGTAAGATCAATCCGCGGCCTAAGGAAGGAAAAAGAAAAGAAACACTCTCCTTTGCTAGTATGCGGAATATTTTTATATTTTGACCGCTACACAATTGATATCGCGAGGTGAACACAATTAACGCTATTATCACTCGCGTCTCGGTATTACAAACTATCGTTTGCGTAATTCCCGTAATCTCGCGTACCGCGTTACGCGTTTTTCCGTTTAGTAATCTCGCTGCACTCGTCCATATTCTGCAGGTTTCGTAGACTCTCCCGGGATGGCAGAGCTGGCAAGGTACGCGCGATCGACGTGTCGCGATCGGTAATTTATTTATTTATTTAATTGGCCTCCAGTAGAAATCATGCGACATCCTCGATCAATAAAAGGCGCATTCCTTATGTCGCGAGAGAGCACTCGATAAAAAGAAAGACAAATATCCTTTCTTCGTTACACGTGAAAGCCTGCCACGAGCCAAGTGTCGGTCACGTGAGAACGTTCTAGACTTCGAGACGCAAAATCTCAACATATTACTTCGATCAAAGCAGCGATATAGAGATAAACTTTGGTAAATTGAGCGAGAATCAACGCCTCTATTATAAACTCCAACAATGGTCAACGTATTAATTTCTAATCGACCATAAAAACTGTAATTCGTAAGTTCTGAACGAGTGAAAAAAAAACACGACCAGCCGTTGGCAGATATTGCGGCGAATATGTCTGAAGATGGAGCCGTTTTAGGACGAAACGCGAAAAACCACTGAAGGGAGAGCAAAACGATAACGGCGCCGCGCTACGCGTTGGTAGAAACAATTCGCTACGGGCAATGTTCCGGAAAGAAGGGAAGAAGTTTCAGTTGTCACGACAGAAATACTGGGCCGTTACACGGGGTTTCTCGGGGTTTGCGCCGAAATCTCGTTTCAAAAGAGTATCCGCGAACGTTGACAATGTGGACTGCGGCAAATTTGTTTCTTTTTCATTCTTTTTATATTTCGAACGAAGCAAACGCATGCTCGCGCTTTGACGAGAAAAGGAAGATAAATTTATAGGACGAGTATAATCGAAGAAAACAGATTCAAAAATATCCAACATTATCGAATATTTCGCAAATATGCAAAGATAAACAATTTATTATTTCAATTTTACTTTTTGAATTCTAAAATCACTTTTGCCAAAGTGATTGCGCCAAGATCGGCGGATATATCATTACGGACAGTTCCGACAATAGTCGGAAAACGCGGAACAACACGCGGAAGCAAACCGGCCGGAGGCTATACATCTAGCTCGAGTAACATAGTTAGGTGCGAGCGAGTCGAAGGAGAGGATAGGCAGGGTCAGAGTGGAGGCCATCAGGGAATAGAGACAGCGAGTAAGGGTAGCAGGCGCGGGAAGGCAGAGGGGAAGGGTTGTGGAAGTACACTCGTGTCGAGAGGAGATTCTGAGTGCTCTCTTGAGAGATGGTTGTGGTTAGAACGAGACACGCCGAGCGAGACATCGGAGAGGAGCTAAGAAGCGCGCGAGAATAAGGGCGAGAGAGGAGAGACGAGGCGAAAGAGGTGAGAGAGGCGAGTCTCTGGAGCATCGCGCGCATCTTCGTCAGCGCTACGTGGGGCCCTCCCGAGAGCGCGAACCAAGATCTTATACTCGCGTGACGTGCCAACGAGAAGGATGGAAAAGGAAGCGGGATAGAGGGCAAGAGAGAGGACGAGGACTTAAAACCCTCGGAGTAAATTCTCGAGGTCAAGATCGAGAGTTTCAGGAGCTTCTCTCGGATTTAAGCACGGTCGTTTGCGTCATCGGCTCCAAATCGTATTTAAAATAGCACGAGAAGATTCCGCTTAATTTCAGTAACTTTCGAGCGGTCGTCTCGTCGCCGATCGTCCCGCTCGCAAAGTAGGTCCCCCTCTCTTCTCAAAACGTTCTCACGAGCGTTTTCATCCGTTACACCGACGACAGCTCTCAACGGATTAATCGTGTTTACGTTCATCGTCGCTACGTATACCGCTGAATCATCGATGAGATTACGAGTCACGATGTGCGCGGCAAAACAACGTATCGTCTTATGAGAGGATCGGTTACCGGCTTATTCTCACAGAAGTGAAGATAAGCGATTGAACAGCAGGTAGCCGAGTTATGCGAGAGATACGAGACGAAATTGGATACGCGACTCGTTCCGCGAACGAGACGGTTGGACGGATCGTTTGGCGCGCGAAATCACAAGCGACTCGCTGAGTACGCGAGAGTTGTCCGATAGTCGAGACGTTGGAACCAACGCACTTCCACGAATCGAATCTTCTCTATTAACACGGCTGACCTCACGCTCGTTAAGAGATCCGCGAGAGAGATTCTACGCGTATTCAGCGATTAAAATCGAAAATCACAGAGATACTTTCCTCACAATTTTTAACGCAAAATTTGATACGCTCTAAAATTTTAAACTTCTATGACTCTATTTTATCAATTTTGCAAAACCTATTTTTTTAGACGTATATGTCGAGTTTAAATATACAATATATTGCAGATCTGACATTTAATAAATTTTTCAATTTTAAAAATTTAAATGATCCAAAAAAAGATGTGTGACTTACCTCCGTTAGGCTTGAGATCGTCAGGCTGACCTCGATGAAGATCCGGTTTCGTCAGCATCGACAATGGATGCGCGGCAGTACCTCCCGGAGTTGCGGCCGCTCCCGGTGGAAGACCCAAACCGAGAAGGGCCGCGGACGCAGAGGTGGGGACCGGTATACCGGCACCAGGGCCCAATCCAGGAAGTCCGGGTATACCCGGATGTGGTCCCATCGCCGCGCCAGGCGGCAATTGCTGGGCATGCATCTGCTGCAGCAGTCTCGGCAAGTCGGGCCTCTGTTGCTGCAACCGCGAGAAAAATTTCGCGTGTAAATAAAGTCGCTTGTGCAACCTCGCGTTCGTTATCGCGATATCGGGATATCACCGCCGGTCGCGCTATCGCCCTTCGTCGATACGCGCCGCAAAGCATCGCGTGAAAAAGATTACGTGTTTGCACGTACGTAGATACGCGCGGGACGACGCAAATGTATATCACTTGGATCTCGATAAATTTCCAAGATTAGATTAAATAAGTGGCGGGGCAATTAACGGGCTCGAGAGCGCGTAACGGTGCCTCTCGAGTATTTCCGCTGTAATTACTAGATAAAAGCGAACGGGTATTATTCCGCGAGACGTGAAAAAACGCGATGCGCGGGAATCGAGGCGATCATCGCTAAGAGCGCGGCAGATTGGAATTGAAGGGGGCGGATAGGATGGGGGAAAACTTTAATAGCGCGTCGATATTATCGTCGGTGGCCGCTATGGCTGCACCGCAAAGAGAGAGAGAGAGAAAGAGAGAAAGAGAGAGAGAGACGGGAACTAGAACCCGATAGAAGAGTTCGGAAATGATTTTTACGGGCTATCGGTTTAGCACGATGGTGTAGTGTGTACGCTGCCGCAGCTTCGTTAGGAGAGTCTGTTTGCCGAACGTGAACTCACGTTTCCAACGCGGACAAATGCATAAGCAAATAAAATCGCGCGAGCGAGCGAACGCTCGCGGATTTAAAAGCACGGCACGATGGGTCTCCCCTTTCTCTCCTGTCCTTGCCTCTCTCTCTCTCTCTCTCTCTCTCTCTCTCTTCCCACCCGTCATAATTGATCAAACAATTTCGTTCTCGCGGGAGGAGACAGGAAAACAGCGAGGGAGCGAACAAAAAGCAACGCAACGATAATTTGCTGGAAAAATCGCTCTGCTTAATTCCGGTCACGATCGCGCGTTCTCTGCTGGTTTTCTCCTCCTCCTCACTCTCTCTCTCTCTCTCTCTCTCTCTCTTTGCAAATTTCTCTCTTCTCGCTACTGCCAGCCGCTGCCGCCGTTACGCGAAAATACACTTCGTTACAGTCAACGGAGAGGCAACTTTCCATTAGCAAAGCATACAAATTGCCGAGTAAACTCCGGTAAGTTTGAGTAACCCCCGCGTTCGACCTCGCTCGGGTAAATCAAAGGCTGCGAAACAAGTGGAAAGACTTACGCGTTCTCTCGTCGGACGAGCGAACCAACGAACGAGCGAACGCAGGCGAAAAGTTTCGCGAAAATCTTAAGCGTATCTCGCCCGTAGTTTCCTCGTTAGTTGGACCAAGCCGCTAGACAAATTATGGACCTGTTCAGCGCCGTTTTAACGGTTCGTGAATCACGGTGCGGGCGGAGGGGAAGCGAGGAGGAGGGGGCGAGACGGGCGAAGCCCGTAGGAAACTGCGAGAGAGAAGGGAGGCCCCCCCCCCCCCCCGCCTGTAACCATGTACACTCGTTAAGGCAGGCCAGAGCGAATATTCCGGGGAGTAGTTTGCCGAGATAATTAAATGGCTTAACGATATAATAACCTTGCGTCGAGTGTCGACTGTCTGAACAAAGAGCCACCCACAAAACATACAAACAGAGAAACGTTTATAAGCGTGCCGGTGCCGCGCCGCGTCTCGTCGCGTCTGTGTTGAGAGACGGAGATTGAGTCGAAAAGGAAGAGGGACAGAAATAAAAGGAAAGAGAAAGAAGAGAAAAATGAAAGAAAAACGAGAGGCGGGTCGACTCTACTTCGGTCCACGCGAAGCCATTTGCGAAACGTTGCCAGAGATTCGAGGAAGTCGGAAGCCCCTAGGAAACGTTCCCCAGTTTCCACTCTTGATAGCGATAATAATCCTGACCCGGGGCTGCTATCCAACTTTCACGCGAAGTGTTACCCTCTTGCCCGTGCCAGGAAACCACCCTCATCTTCGCGCCGAGATTCCCTCGTAATACTGTAGCAATGCGACGGAATGACGAGAGCGGCGCTTTGACACGCGACGCGAACAAATTGTACGAAAGTTTCCGAGGTGCAAATTTCGTTTTAGAAGCTCTTGCTAACGAGCAAGAAAATATATGCAAAAAAAAAAAAAAAATACGAAAAAGAGATAATAAAGTCTCTCTGAACAAAAAAAAAAAAAAAATAAAAAAAAAAAAAAAAATACGAAAAAGAGATAATAAAGTCTCTCTGAAAATTACATTTAAAAAGTCGCATTAAAATGAAATACATGCGATTTATATATACCTTTATCTGTCATTATAAAACTCAGAATAATCAGAATAATTTTTATAAATAATTAAATGTGATAGTAATTAAACGCGACATTCCTCGACATTTCCACGTTTCAAAGCATTTCCGACTCGCGATTTTTTTTATTTCCGAAGTAGCTGCGTCTTAATACTCATGCGAATCTTCTCGCGGCACCTGCCGCCAAGGCTCGTTCTCAGCAGTTTTCACCATCGTCATCGACGCCACTTGCTGACTCGACCAGACGCAAAGCTATAGTCGAGGAAGATCTTAGAGGGGTCGGGGAGGGGGGGGGGAGAGACCGTCTCAACCTTCTTATATTGCGTATCGTTAACACTTGGTAAGCGTCTTTGAATAGGCAGTCGCCACAAGAACCGCGATCGATGCAAGGTGCATTTATGCAAGCGTGTCTATTACCAAGGCAATATCATTGGCGATATCGAAGCTTTACAATTACGATATCCCATTCGCCGTCTTAAGTACGTATCGATGTTTACAGCAACAATTTTAACCGATTATCATAAAAGAGAAGAGCATGTATGTATATTTACATCACGAAATAATTCGCGAAATGGTTATATTTATTCCCCGGTACGTTTATCCGCAGCAAAATCGAGCGCGTGAGCGGCGAGTCCGTCGCAGCTTGTCCGATTCGATTTATCCGACATAGCTGGTGGGATTTAAGAGAAGAGAGTAGACTAGAGTGGGCGGTATTTCGAAATCCTGCTAAGGATTTGCCGCACGTACCCCAACAACGTCGCAGATCCGTGGAAGTTTCTCTGCGTGGGAACGAGAGGTCGGGAAGAGAGAGAGAGAGAGAGAGAGGGGGGGAACGGAGGGGTGGCTGGAATGCTGATTAGTCGGCGTTCGTGCATCGTAACACTATAACCTACCCCCGGCGGCCTGGGAAACCAGACGGGAAGACTCCGGATAAGATTCAGGGGAGAGACAGCTATATAGGTGGCGAGAGCGGATGCGACCGGGGTGAGAGAAGCGAGAGATCGAGGAGGACGGGGAGAAAGAGCCGGAACGGAGCGGAGGAAGAGAAGCCGGTGGCTTAATAGGGAGGAAATTGAGTGCTCGAGTAATATTGAGGAGGATTCGGGATTCGCGAGGATCGTATCCGTCCCGTCCCCGCTTTTGGATTCCTCGGACGTGCATCGGCTTCCAACGTTGCGTACCCGCAGGGGTTCTCCGTTCACCGCGAATGCTTTTCACGCTGAAGCGCACGCATATCATCGGGCTGCCACGTATCCGTTCGAGTATGCCGCGAGCGCAAACCGCGCCGCGATCGGCGATCCGACGATGATACCCAACAGCAGCACCGAGGTCCGCCATTAAAACGAGCGATATCATTGCACACTTACCCCGATGATGGTGTTTAGCTCGGTCATGGTCACTTGTTTGGCTCTGTCGACCGCCGTGGCGACTTGCTGTTGATGCTCCTGCGAGAGAAACGGCAGGATCTGTGCGATGATGGCGTTCAACCTTTTCGCTATCTCCGTCTGAAATAAAAAATTTTTCTGATATCCGTAAAAAAATTTACCTTTTCGAAATTGTTAATATTGTATCTCAAATAAGATAAATTTTCTATCTTTGTTATTATACACGTATATCGCGTATTTTTCCTTTTACACAATTAGAATATTATTAAGAATCAAAGAAAATCGAAAGAGAAAAATGAGATACAATTAAAAGAAATATATATATTTCGTCAAACACTTAGTGCTCGTTTTTTTTTTTTTTCTTCACCGAGCACCAGCGTTACGACGAAGAGCTGTTCGATCCGGCACTACACTAGTCTGTGCCCGGGACCCCGGGCGGCTTGTTCCGGGTCGTTAAGAAAGGTAAGGGCTAGCTTAACGCGCCCTCGCGAAGGAAACGAGTGAAGATGCAGGTGCGGCATAACCGACTAAGGGTGTTTACGACGCCCTCCGGCTGGAAGAGACTGCTGGGAATTAAATTAAATCCAGGCAAGATTGCCACAGTGGCGTAGGCATTCGCGTATTTCAAAGCGTAATTTTGCTGCAGTCTCATTTATTTCAACATATCAATAAATATTCCCGGCTGTTTTTTATGTCAATTTGAAACACTGGATCTTTACACAATAAATATATATGTAAATATATTGTTAATGTGTAAATTAGTAATTATTCAGTATTTAATATATAACTTATCTCGATAAATAAAATTATTCTTTTGACTTGTTTTTCATATATTTTTTTTTTTTTTTTGACTACTGACTTTTACTTGAAATATATCAAGTCATTGGATAATCGTGCACAGATCCATGCGCTGTGGGCTGGATAACTCGGCATAATAATTCACACGGCGCAACATCGCAGCGCGAAACTCCATTTAATTATCGCGGAATCAACAGGCAGCGTACGGAACGGAGCGGAGCGCGGACCATTTTCGACGCTTTCGTCGAGAAAATGAAATCACTTAATTATCTCGACAAAGCGGCGGCTCTGGCGCTCGTTTCCCCGCCAACGCGTAGAATTCGCACGCTCGAGAGACGCGGAAGCGGAAGCCGCCGATTCGTCGCGAAACGGGAAGCGAACCGCTGGTTCTACGCGCCCTCGATCCGTCCCGACGACTCATAAAAGCCCCGAAAATATAAGCCTGGTGAGCTCGCGGCTGATTTAAACGCGAGCTTCCTTCAACGCGTTTGCGCCACCGCTTAAACGAACCTCGGAACCTGCTAATTGAAATATCGTCGAGCCACTGAAATTCTTGGCAAGTTTCCCTGCCTCGAGCACATCTCGACATCTCGGCGAACGAGCGGAAAGAGAAAGAGAGAAAAAGAGAGGAACGAAGAAAGAGGAAAGAGAGAGCGGAAAGAGGAGGACCTGTTTTAATTACTCGTCGTCTTCCGAGTGCTGGTTATTAAGCCGCTAATTATAATGTACGCGAAAATGAGTCAAGCGAGATATCGTATACACAAGAGCAAAGTTTACATAGCGTAGAATACATGTGCGCGATACACGGGACATGCAACTTTATGAAATACCGGAATGTTAAAAATATATTTTTTGTATACATTCAAATGCGTACATTCAAAAATGTGAATAAACAAAAATGCAAAAAAATTCTAAAGAAAAAATATTCGGCTTTAAAAACTTGATACCAAAAATCGACACATCGATAAATGTATAAATTTACGAATTTAACTTTAATTTTATTCTTTTTTATATGCAGAAATCACTGTTATATTGACACGTTAAATGTGTTTAACAATTGGCGTATTATCATGAAACTCAAATATGCGAATGAAAATAGCTCATTATCATGAAACTCAAATATACTTGTGTTGATCGCAATAATAACACACGGAGTATGTTTCGTAACGTGTGGTAAAGTTCTATCTATTCGGCGTATACTATACAGCAGTTTGTTGCAATACCAAAAGCAGAAGATTCCGAGTGAGTGGTCCCGGAAGACCCGGGGGAAGGGAAACATTGTGGGCGAGAGATGGTGGCGGTTTCAGGGAGGAAGGGACGACAACGGGGGTGGAGCCGTCGCAAACGTAATTGCGTTGCCGAGAAGTTTTCCCCGGGTGAGAGGTAACCAAGAAAATAATGAATGGCTCGGATGCTCCGCTACTGCTCTCCCGCGTCGCGAGAGAGACAACGAAGAAAGAGAAAGAGAGAAATGGCACAAGTAGAGACTCGAGTTTTGGTTGGCGGTGTTCTTGTTGGCCTGGATTTCATACGAGGGGAAGAGATGAAAACCTCGCCCCTGAGAATGAATTTTTCTCTCCAGTTGTGCCAAATTGGACCAACGAAGATTACTCCACTCCGCGTAGCGGAGTCTTTCGCGGCACGAATGGCCCTTTCTTTAAAATAGCACTTGCAGCGGACGTTGTTATCCGCTATCGGCATATCGGGAGCAACTCGAGATTTCAGCGACGGCGCAAAATCTAGGATGAATCGTGATACATGTAGAAAATACCTTCGCAGAGATCCCAGAATCTTTTCTAGCCATTTTTTCTATTTTCTCCGAACAGCTGCGTTCTTTTCTGACATTACAAGGAATCGTGGCGTGCCGAAACGAAAGACGCAGATGCCCTGGCTCGTAATATCGCGAAAACCGCAAGAAACTCTCGCAAAGTGCTATCCCTTCCCTCCTTTTCCCGCTCACACGTACATACGACGTCGCTTTTGTGTGTCACGCAAATACATACAGTTACAAGCACACGCGCATTTCAAAGGAATCAAGCACTCTCGAGAGAGAGATGTTCTCCCATATATATAAATAAACACTATAGCGTATGTCTAAAAGCAGGCAGCAACATTCACGGCATGAAAATGCAAAGCACCCGAGTGCCGTCGATAAAATTAAATATTTAATCGAAGAGCCAGCATTTATTAGAGGGATGAGAGAGAGAGAGAGAGAGAGAGAGAGAGAAGTAGATAGAGCGAGAGTTTGCGCCAACAAAGCCACGCTCGCCGCCAACCTCTGCCGACCAAGCGGAAGCCGTTACTTGCGCTAACGAGTAAACCAACGGCTGCTCGTCGGACTTTGGTGGTATTATGCTGCGCGAGCAAATAAACTGGCGTGTTCGGCTAACTCCCTGGTTTCTGGTAAGCCCCTGCACACCGGCGGCGGTTCTCGCTCGCTCGCTCGCTCGGCTTGTAAAGCCCGGCTAACGTCCGCGTGATTGCAATATCCCGCGGCTTGCGGAGAATACCGGATGTAACCGTGTGTACGCGCGCGCATCTGTGTACACACGGCTGGACCAGCATGTGCAAGAGCGCGGGTGGGTTGGACCAGGGCGAGAGCGAGAGATGAGCGAGACGCGGGGGATAGAGAGGAGCGCCGCCCGTTAAGGCGTATGACCGGGCGAGCGAAAAGCTCATTGTCCGCCGTTGTTTCGTACGTTCCGTCTCCCGTTACATATACCGAAAGTTAGATTAAATCAATTTTCTGTCCCGCATCGCGTCGTGTTAATTCTTACCGCGTCGCGAAACAGCCAACCAGCGCATTCAGCATCCGGTAGCGACGGCTCTCTTCCCGCCGCGTTCGTCGCGCGACGACGTGAAAAGAATCGATAATGCTCCGTGTCTTTTGTTCCGTCTATCGCGCGCGTCCGTACAGCGATGCGCGACATAACTGACAAATGGGTCAAATGCTATAACAGCAGAAATTCGATACGGGAGGAAAATGAGAGAGAGAGAGTCGGGTCCTCCACGGTTTGTCCGTGATACATACGACCGCGATATCTGTGCGCGAATAATATCAATTTGAAAATATCCGGCCGTTCAGAATTGCGAAATCAATTAGATTGCGCGGTTCGCAATCGCGGGTAGAGGGGAGGGAAAATCGCACGATGTGTATATCGTTCCGGCGACGGTGACTGTGTCACGCGTGACGAATACGCGACGCGCGGGAAATATCCGGGCAGATGTGAGCGAAATGCGAGCGAATCCGGGATGAACGCGTCGTCGAAACGGCCGCAGTAGCAACGCCTGAAATTGCTTGTATAAATATTGAAGGCTCGCCATTTTCATTCGGTTAATTTTCCGCGCTGGACACCAGAGAGGCCGCGATGAAATTTTATGCGCTCCGCGCGTCTCTCGACGTCGTTGCACACGCTACTCTGTAACGCGATGCAGCGGCACGCATGTACGCACGCAGGCAAGAGCGTCCGTGATTTCGTTCCCGAATGGGGGGAAAAAAAAAAACAGAGAGAAAAATCTCGATGTCGCGTAAAATGGTCAACTCGAATAACTCAAATCGCTGTTAAACGGATTATCGGGACGAACGGGTTACGAATGACGATGATCGGCTGTACATACATTGTGTCGATGGTTATTGTACCGCGAGATGAAGAATACAATTGCCAATCGCGATGCGGTTTCCGGTTTTGATTCGTGCTTTAACACGGCGTAATAGTTGTCCGCGTTGTGATAAATCTAATACGATTTCACATACAATTCAATCTTTCTCTCTCACATCGTTCTTCTCATTAAATACACAATTAGATTTATACGTTTTAGTCACGCATCGTAAAACACGAAATACGATTTCAAATTACGATAGAATTGCCGTGAACAAAATTTAAGGACGAAGAACGCTCCTGCGAACATAGCTCAGGCCAATTTCCAGAGACAGAGGGCAATCGACGAGACGCGAAGGAGAATCGAGAGAGGGAGGAAGAGAGAGAGAGAGAGAGAGAGAGAGAAAAAGCATTGTACGTGAATGTTCGAGGGTAAACAGGCTACAATCAATTCGGGGTTCGTCGTGGTCGCGCAACGAGGGCGGCGAGGGGTGACTTGGAGTGGCCGCAATTCGGGGAACATCCACAGCCCGTGTGTACGAGGCGTACGTAAACGTGAACACCAAGTGTGGTACGGCATGCATGTGTATATGCGTGTGATCCGAGAGAGAGAGAGAGAGAGAGAGAGAGAGAAAAGTCGTTGTTGCCACTAGCAGTCGGTATTGCCGTCACCAGCTACATCGTCTCGCTAGAAATGCCAGGATAGAGAGATAGAGAAGGGGA